GCCTTGTATTGGAACATTATAAAAACATTACCAATTCACTTAATTTTCAGGTAAAAAAATTCAAATAACAAATCCTTCAAATAATCCTTAATTTAAAAAACAATCAAATAATCAATAAATATTTGCACAGTATTTTCATCTGTAATAACATTTAAAAAAAATGCTTATATTCAATAATGAATTTTTTTGCAGGTTGTTAATTGGACTTTTTCTTGGTTTCTTGCTTCACTATAAAACTTATCAAATTAACATTCTACTATAAACCAAAAAATTGATATAAAAGCCATTTTAAGAATAAAATAAACCAATTTATTACAATAAAAAATATTCACATGAAATTGAAAATCTATGGACAAATTTCAAACAATTATTTGATAAAAAGATTGGGTTGAATCCCGATTTTTCCTTTAATGAAATGGCCATTGAAATTTGTGAATTACTTGAAGAGGGAAAGGGAATTGCTGCTTCTACAATAAAAAATGAAAAACCAATCCTAGAAGGAAAATGGTAGAAGCAATTCAGAAGTGGGTTGAAAAAGAAAGGAAGAAAGAAATAGAGAATGAAGTTGAAGGAGATATAAATATTAGTAATAATAATATTATTGATAATAGTAATAGTAGCAGTTATACATGCTGCCCAAATCCCAAACTATTTGGGATTGTGGCATCCCAAATACACAAATTAAATTTGGGACAGCCTACTGAAAGATTCCCAAATCCCAAATGTAGATCAGTTTTCCTGCTCAACCAATAAGCACCCAGAATTTGTGAGTGTGATCTATGATCCCTTTATTATCCTGGATGCTTATTGGTCAGAAGAACAAGTACAAGGATTTGATCTACATTTGGGATTTGTACATTTGGGATGCACAAATTAATGGGATTCTGAATTTTTAATTTGGGCAGCATCTATAGTAGCAGTAGTAATAGTAAAAGTTGAATTTTTGTCAGAGTGCCCAAAGAATTGGGTCTGAGTATTTTCCTCCCATGCAAGTGCTCTGGCAATTATTTAACTATATTTTATAAATTATTTATGTATTATTAATTGAATTAAAATAAAAATAATTTTCTTTTGTCGTTTAATTCATTTGTCTGTAAAAAAAATTTTTTTTTAATTCCAAGTCATCTGCCCACTAATTTATCATTGGTCGAAATCATGCATAAATTGTAACAATTACAATCTAAATCAATAAAAAAAAATTTTTTTAAAACAATTTATTTTTTTTTTAACAAAATGGCAAGTATTGAAAAAATTGAAGAAGTTAAAAGAAAGGCAGAAGGGTGGTATGAAGAGGCAACAAAGAAGTTGAATGATTGGGAGGAGGGAGAGTTTGAAGGGGTAATGTTGAATGAGTTGAGGGTGAAGTTGGTTAGGAGAGGATATGAGGATGACGGACAGAAGAAAGAGTGGAAAGAGATGGTAAAAAAGTTGGAAGAAGAGAAGAAATTGTTAGAGAAGGAAAAAGGCGAGTGGTGGAAGCAGGTGGAGGAGTGGAGGGAGGCATTGAGGAAGTTCGGTGGAGGGGAAGGTAATGAAACAAATTGCATAAAAAAAAATATATATATATATTTCATTCATTCCATTTCGTTTTATTTGTTTATTTGCTTGTATGATCATTTGGTATATTGTATACAACATTGACTGACTTCTGTTTTTTCTTTTTATAAAATGAAAAATATACCTACCTAATTATTTATTCTGTATGGATTTACTTCCAAAAGGTAAGTTTCAAGTTTCTTTTTCAAGAAATTATATTACATTTTTTTAAAAAAGTCCTTTTATCACCTCTAATTGAAGTGTATATAATGGCATCTTTTTTGTTTTTATTTTATTTTGTTTATTTTATTAATGACTTTTTTTGTCATGTTTCTTTCTCACTTTGAACAGGTAAAAAAGGTAAATTATATTAATGTCTCTTAATCAATCAACATACTTATATTTTACTACTTAACAAATTCCTAAATTATTTTTGGTTTGTTTTGTGATTCTTGTGTTTTTTTTTTTTTACTTTTGATATAGAGGACATTATTTCATTTTTTGGATCAGATGACACTGAAGGATTACCAAAAACACAACGTGTCTTTCGAAAACATCTAACAGAAAAGATACTGAATGACCTTCATTGTCATGGTAAAGTTCTGATAACATCATCACCATTTTCAGGAAAAACAGCATTAGCACAATTAGTGAGTTTGATTGCTACCGAGAAAAATCTTAAAGTTGTTGCTATCTCATTTGCTGGATATGTTGCATATAAAAATACAAAGTTGAACTCTGGATCTCATATAGAGAAAGAAATCAATATTTTTTCATCATATTTTAAAAAGATGGTGTCAATGGAATGGACAGATATAATTGCAAATTCAGAAACTCTATTAATAATTGATGATGCTCATAATATATTTCATGTAGAGGTATGAATTAAGTAATTTTTTTCTTTTTTTTTTCTTTGTCTGATTTTTTTTTTCTTAAACAATTTCAAGGAATTTTGGTCAATGTTCAAAGCTCAGTCAGTTCAATCAGGCTTCCAAAATAACAATCTTTGTGGACTTCTTGCAACATCTACATATGATGTCCCAGCAATCAGATTGGGTAATATATCTTCTCCAAGTTGCTTCACTGTTAAGTACTACTTTAAGGATATTGTTTTGGACTATAGTGAATATATAGAGTTAGTTAATGAATTTAGAAAGGATTCAAAGGGTGACCACAAGGACTTGGCATTGTCACAGACATTTATAGATGCAGTATGGAATGCAACACAAGGACACATAGGTTTATGTCGTTTGGCATTAAATGAACTTACAAGGGCTCCCAAAAATTGGGTAGGGGATATTGAATTGCAACTATCTCAATTTATTTTCAATGGACAACTTACAAAACAATTGGAAAATTCCAGAGCATTTGCAAATATATCAATCTTGAAAGAACTTACAGGAATAAATTTAAGTGAATTACAGAATATTTTAAAGGAAGTTATCCAAAAGGGTTATGTGCCTTTAAATGGTATTAATAGTAACTTCTTAAGTTCTCTTTTGAAAGTTGGGATGTTTAATGAAGATGGATTAAATCTATTTTTTAGTTGTCCTATTGTTGAACAGTTTTACCGAAGAGAATACATCAAAAATTTTATCCATCCATCTCCATGTCTCCTGCCATCATTATCTCAAGTTGAACAAGAGGGTATAACAGAATTTGTGTACAAGGTGTTAGAGAATTTTGATGGAAGTTTGTTAAGATCTACCTTTTCTAGGAGTGTAAATGGGAGTTATATAGAAAGGATTTATCGGAATGAATTTTATCGTAGTGCTTGGATGATTATGCCAGCAAGATTGAGTTCTGATGTTGGTACTTACTTTGGTGTGAAAGGTAAAGGAAAACAAAGACTATCATCCATCATACTTATTTATCATTGTCAAAATTTCTAAACATGTCATTTCTTACAGGGGCAGTTGACTTTTACCTGAATGATCAATTCAAATGGGCTTTTGAACTTCTTAGGGATGGGAAAAAGCTCAAAGAACATTCTGAAAGATTTCAACCTGGAAAAAGATATAGTGGAATAGAGATGAATGATTGGGCTGTTATTGATTTTTGCATAAAAGGATCATCTGCTGCTTGGAAAAATTTTCCACAAGATAGTAATCATTACTGCCTTGTTATAGAACAGGATTCTTATAAAGCTATCTTATACCATAATAACAATAATAAATCTTTTGATTTAAAGCAGTCAAAGTGGTAGTGGTTGTTTAATTAACAAATTTATTAGAAAATAAGTTATGTGATGAAATTAGTAATGAAAATAATTTACTTAGATTTATTAAATATGTTACTTTTCACTATTATTCAAAGATAACCAGATTGTGAGAATTATTATTATATTATATTATTTTGTTTATAGTTAAGAATTATCAATGATAATAATATTAATGTGACCAAATTTTTAATAAATAATGTTACTTGCAATTTAAAAAAAAACAAACTTAAAAATCATTAAAATAATTTATGGTTTTGTATGATTAATTGATCATTTGAATGTTTTTATTGTTCATATTATTTGATCCATTCTGTCCATTATAAAAAATTATCATTTTTTTCTGATACATTTAATTCATTTGTTGTGAATGAAAAAAGTAATTAAATATTAAAAATAAATCCATTAATTTCTCTTGAAATTAAATAATAAAAATGATAATGAATAAATAAGGTTTCTGGTCAAAACTGTTTTCTCAAAGCCCAAACTAGTTTGGGCAATTTGGACTTCTCAACATTTTTTATAAGTATGAACATTAAAAAAACTATACAAATCAACTTATTTTAACTTAAACAACTTTAAAATAATTTTGCCCAATTTGGGCCAGTAACAAAAAATAATTTGGGCCTATAAAAAAACAAATTTTGCCCAAAGTGTTTCAACAATTTCAGTTACTAATGAAAATAGTTTCAGCTGGAAACTAATTAAAAACGATTTTTTTTTTAATATATATATTTGAATTTCTAAATAATCAGTAATCTGCTCATGATCATAATAATAATAAATAGTTTAAATAGCTTCAGAAACTAATTATACATTATTCATTACTTTTTTAAAAATTTGTCAATAATTCCAATATATGTATAAAAGATTTAAAAAAATATAAATTAATTTTGTTGTGCTAATTTGCCTTTGTTGACTACTCCAAGTTGATCAAGATGCTGCTCACTTTGCTATCTTTGCTGTCTATGTAGTCATAATTTCTGACACACTAAATCTAACCAGTATGAATGAGTAATTTGGACTGCTTCCCTTCCGCAGCGATGTATCACAAGATCTAAACATATGACCCACAGAAGAAAGAAGTTACACAGAGCATTGTCATAGTAAAAAATTACCACGTAACACAACTAAAAATGTAACAAATAATAAACATTGTCACTGGTAGCTAGGCCTGTATCTTACCAAATATAGAACAGAAACCAGTATAATATCTTTATATTTATCTTTAGTAATAGTTTTATCATAATTTTTATATTTTATTATGCATTATATTATTATTTCTTATTTAAGGATGGACCAGGACTAAAGTCCTGGAATTCCTACTATTATACTTTACTTATTTGTATTTAACAGAAATATAAACATAGGTCATAAGAGTAGTCATGAGTACATTCGTAGAATTCTTAGAAACTTTGTATTATAAATTGAATGTACCAATCATTAGAAAAATTACTTGTTATATCCAAAATTTCATCTATAGTAAAAGAGATTAGCTCAAGAAATACTTAGAATAGAAATATTGAAATGTAATGAACAAAAGCTATAAAAACGCTCTTAAAATTACCTTTGTTCAATATCATCCTTTGTGGGATTCAAAAATATAATAATAATAATACAAATTAATAATAAATAATCTTTGACCTAAAAAATTGTTGAGTTTCGCTTAATAAAAACTTTCTATTTTACCTTTAATTAATAACTCCTTTGGGACACCTTTGGAGAGGGCTTGAAGTGCCATCAGGATTTGCCAATTTAATAAATACTTTATTTATTAAACATTTTTGTTAGTTGACTAAGGCTGCAGTTCAGCTGGATATTGAAATTTAGAGTAGATATTGCGAGCGTGTAAATACAATTACAGCTCGGGGTGTGTCCAATAAATATATAAGATATAAATAAAAGTCCAATATATGAATCTCCCTGATTACGGCACACAGCTCAGGGTTCTCAATCCCAATCTCTCTGATTACAGCACACAGCTCAGAGTCTCAAATTCCGACCTCTGATTACGGCACACAGCTCAGAGCCTCTATATTGCGCAATTTCTCTCTACAGTACTAATAGAAGTACTGCTGGCCTAAAAATGATAAACAAAATAAAAAGAATATATACAAGAAATATTTACAACTATACCACTTGAGGCGTCCCTACAAGCAGCATAGAACA